GTCTTGGTAGAACTTCTTCCTTGGTAGAGTGGAGGTGCTGGTGGTGTGTCTGCAGAAATGGAACATAAGCCAGGGCAAAGAACTTGAGAACCAGTGTCACTAGAGAGGTATGGGGGCTATAGAACACACTAGTGACACTGTCAGAGGAGGTAACACCAAAATGACGGTTTTTAAAATTTTTGTGCAGTGTTTCAGCAGAATTTTTTTTTTTAACGAAAATATCTCTGTTGTTAGTTACAAAGACAGAAACATACCTACAAGGCTAAAACTCTATGCTTATTTACTTTTTGAACCTTCTAAGGAGTGCTGGTGGTATAGTGCCTAAGGCATCTGACTGCTAATCAGAAGGCTGGTGGTTCAAACCCACCAGCCACTCCTTGAAAGGAGAGTGGGGCAATCTACCTCTGTAGTGATACCACCTGGGAAACCCAAGGAGGGGTTGCTCTGAGTCAGAATCAACTGGAGGGCAGTGAGTTTGATTTTTGGTTTAATGTGCTCTAGTCCGAGCTGTCATTACATAATTACAATGATGCTTTGATTCAGTTGGTTCCTACTGCACACACTACAGGCACACGCTGTCACTTTTGTTGCTGCCTGTGTTTTTGTAGTTGTTGATTTTGTCTAATTTTCTGGTGTTTTAGCTACAATATTGTGCTAATTAGTACTTTTGAACCTATATCTATATATTTCTTTGAGAATGAAGTAGTAATTAAAGGAAAAAAAGGAGAAGAATCAAAAAAGGCTTCCAGTCAGTTACTAATGTTGTAATAAGTAATGTAATTCAACATAGAAAGATTTAATAAAACGATCTTGTTGTTAGTATTCATAAAATCTAAGAACTATTCCATATATGGGGAGCTCTGGTAGCATAGTGCCTAAAACATTTGACTGCTAACCAGAAGGCTGGTGGTTCAAACCCACCAGGTACTCCTCAGAAGGAAGACTGGGCAATCTACTGCTGTAGAGATACTGCCTTGGAAACCCAAGGAGGGGTTGCTATGAGTTGGATCTGACTTGACAGCAGTGAGTCTGTTTTTTTTGGTTTTATTACTTATATGCAGTTTATAGCTATTTTAATTACATATTACTCTATGATTTAAATGATAATAAACATTACTAAGAATTCTATATGGTCTGGTACAAGCGGATGTCAGTGGGGGTGGGGGAAGTGGCATCATGAGTGACTGCATGGGTGACACCAACCCTAGTTCAGTTCAGCCATTAGGGCTGAACTGGTGGGTACCAGCTTAGGCAGAAACTTCAAAGAGAGCCCAAGCTTGGGAGTGTGACCTTAGCCAAGTCACCTCCTCTCTGTGCCTTAGTTCCTCATTGGCAGTGAGGACTTCACGGGACATTACCAGGGCACAAGGAGAATGCCTGCTAAATACCCAATGACTCCTCATTGATTAAGTAATTTACTAATTCATCCCACAGATGAATTGAGCCCCTGCCAAATGCCTGTCACTATGCTAAGCCCTGGGGCAAAAAGAGGGACAGACCCTATCCTGGCCTCATAGAGGTAGGAGCAGGGCTGCTTCATGGCCTTTTAGACCATGGAAAGGAACTTGGTCTAGATCCTATGAATAATAGGAGCTACTGAAGGATTTTAAGAACAGGAGTGACAGGATCAGATTTGGGATTTGAAAAGATTTCTTTGGATATGATGAGAGGAATGCTTCCAACATTATCTCTCAAAAAAAAAAAAAAAAAAAAAATTGCCTAGATACTAGATGGGTTATAACAAACAACCTTCTAAATGTATTCCTAAGCTCTCAGGAAGGAGACTGTGGTGGCATAGTGATTAAAAGCATTTGGCTACTAACCAAAAGGTTGATGGTTTGAACCCACCAGCCACTCCATAGGAGAAAGATGAGACAGTCTGCTTCTGTACAGATTTACAGCCTTGGAAACCCTCTAGCCATTTCTACTCTGTCCTGTAGGGTGGCTATGAGTCAGAATGGACTAGATGGCATTGGGTGGTGGTGGGTGGGGCTCTCAAGAAAACAATATGAATCCAACCTTGGGGATATTTCCAAATTCCAGAAACTTTGGGTTTTAACAGCCACTCAAGGAACAGAAAGTAAGATCTTAGGTCTACACAGTGTGACCACCTCCCCAGCCCAACATAAGTCTGGGACCCCCAGAGGGCTACATAATCAGCAAATTGAGGGATTGGCCAGATAAAATATCCACCCACCAGCAAAAGGAGACACTGCCTCTGGTGGAAAAGAAAACAAACAAACAACAACAACAAAAAAGAAAGACTCCTAGAAAATTGTGAATATTGGTTTGTTTTCACACAAATTTAGGATTTGAATGCATACCACCCCTGTGGTCCTGGAAATTTTAAACTAGAAAAGTAACTTTAAATGGTTCAGGGTAGCAGTGCCTCAGGAAACATGGATGAAGTAAATTAAAATCCTCTCTGGAGGAATATATCCTCATGTTTGGGATCAGGCAAATATGAACTCTAACCAAATCAAAACCAAACTCACTACCGTTGAGGCGAATCTGACTCATAGTGACCCCTTCTTGGGTTTCTGAGGCAGTATCTCTATGGAAGTAGATTGCCCAATCCTCCTTCTGAGGAGTGGCTGGTGGGTTTGAACCTCCAGCCTTCTGGTTAGCAGTCAAATGCCTTAGGCACTATGCCACCAGAGCTCCCATGAACTCAGTCTAAAATTTAAAAACACACAAGAAAACAAGCCACTGTGAGCTATGTTGTTGTTGTTGTTGTTATTTGCCATCGAGTCAGACCCAACTCACAGAGACCCCTTCTTGGGTTTCTGAGGCAGTATCACTATGGAAGTAGATTGCCCAACCTTCTTTCCAAGGAGTGGCTGGTGGGTTTGAACCACCAGTCTTCTGGTTAGCAGTCAAGTGCCTAAGCCACTACGCTACGCTACTACACCAGTAACAACAAATAGCAGCATTAGTTTCCCTGAAAGTCTAAGATGCTAAAATTATAAGCTATAGAATAGAAACACTTGTTTTTAAAAAGTGTTAAGAAATCAAAGGTGGACTTGAAACCATAAACAAGGAACAAAATACTGCCTAACATGACCAACCAGATTTGCAAAAGAACCAAAGGAGCTTCTGGAAATGAAAAGCAGTTATTGAAATAAAAAATTCAGTGGATGGGATAAGTAGAAGATCAGACCCACCTAAAGAGAAAATTAGTGAAATGAAAGATAGATCTAAAGAAATTACTCAGAATTTAGCAGAGAGAATTAAAGAGATAATAAAGAAGACAGTTAAGAGTCATGAAATATAAAATAAAAAGGAGTAAAAGAGAAGGAGAGAAGGGATAAGATTTCTGACTTGAGAAACTGAGTATCAAAAATAACCCAAACCCACTGCTATTACATTGATTCTGACTCATAGCTCCCCTTCAGAACACAGTAGAACTGCCCATAGGGTTTCTGTTGTTGTTGTTGTTAGGAGCCGATGAGTCAGACCCAACCCATAGCGACCCCTCCTTGGGTTTCCAAGGCAGTATCATTACGGAAGTAGATTGCCCCATCTTCCTTCCGATGAGTGGCTGGTGGGTTTGAACCGCCAGTCTCCCAGCTAGCAGTCAAGTGCCTTAGGCACTATGCTACCAGAGCTCTGACTCTGTAAATCTTTATGGAAGCAGACTGCTTCATCTTTCTCCCAAGGAGTGGCTAGTGGGTTTGAATAGCAGACCTGTTGGTTAGTAGCAGAATATCTTAACCACTGCACCAACATAGCTCCTAAACTTAGTATGTTGTTGTTGTTGTTATGTGCCGTCGAGTTGGCCCCGACTCATAGCGACCCCTCCTTGGGTTTCCAAGGCAGTATCACTACGAAAGTAGGATTGCCCAACCTTAAACTTAGTATAGGGAGTGTCATATACTAAGATGGCAAAGACTAGGGAGAACAGATTTGAGTGGACAAACAAGTTTCGTTTGGAGCAAGAAAGATCTGTTGAGGCATCAGAGAGAATGAGACGTTAGAGCTGGGCCTCAAGGTATGTGTAGGAGTTTACCAGGAGGAGAAGAGACTTTATCTTAACAAATTATTGGGGGAAAAGATCTCCCTTTATTGAGGTCATCAGGTCCTTTCTGAAATGCTCTCTCACTCAAGAGAGGCCCCTTGAGAAGAGGCATTCTCAAGACCGTCAGATGGACTGGTGTTTTGGGATCTCCTGGAGCTCTGGTGGCATAGTGCCTAAGGCATTTGACTGCTAACCAGAAGGCTGGAGGTCCAAACCCACCAGCCACTCCTCAGAAGGAAGGTTGGGCAATCTACTTCCATAGAGATACCACCTCGGAAACCCAAGGAGGGGTCACTATGAGTTGGAAACGACTCAATGGTAGTGAGTGAATGAGAGTTTCATCTCTCATTTTTCAGATGGAGATGCTAAAGCCCAGAAAGGTTAGAGATTTGCCCTCTGAGTCTTAGACTCTTCCCTTCCTACTTTATTCCTTCCTTCCTTTCCTTCCTTTATCAAACAGATATTTATCAAACAATCTAAAGTCATTTATCAAAACAAAAGAAAACCCATTGCCATCAAGTTGATTCTGACTCATAGTGACCCCTTAGGACAGAGTAGAACTGCCCCATAGGGTTTCCTAGGTTGTAATCTTTATGGAAATAGACTGCTACATTTTTTTCCCATTATTTATCAAAAGCCTACTCTAAACCAGATACTAGGTGCTGAACATACAGCAGTGAACAGAACAATGATTCCTGCCATATTTTACTGGAGAGAGATGGACAATAAACACAAATACAAGGATTTTTTAAAAATATATATATATGTATCAGAGGGTTATAAGAACAGCAGCAAAACAAGGACTAAAAGAGGGTCGAGTGTGGGTCCTGGGGGTGCCACTGAGAAGCTGACTCCTGAGCATGAAAGGCAGTGAGCAGCCCTCCAGCCCATTGTGACAGTGTGTCTGGGGTTCTAGAGTGCAGGCCTGGGGGTGGGCAGAAGGCCTGAAGGAGGAGTTGGAGGAGAGGGACTGAAGTGGGATTTAGTGGAGGGGCTGCGCTGCCCCCGGGGGGGGGCAGCACAGCCCAATGGGTCAGAAAGGCCACAAAGACTCCCTTTACCCTTGTGGGGGGTAAGAGAAATTTATTCTTGAGGCCTCCCTGCTCCTAGTCTATGGCCCCTCCCTCCCCTCCCCTCACCAGGTCATAGATGACACCCTTTTTCTGCTTTTCTTCCTGCCTTTGGGAATACTTAGTGAGGGGTCCAGATCCCATGTGTCCCAGTGGGCAGCCTTAGGAGTTCATGACATGTTTCCCAGGCTGCCCAGGGAAATGGAATGGGGCTTCGGCCAGGAAGGGGGCTGGGGGCTCCAAGGTCATGCCCCTGTGTCTCTCCCTTCAGGACATCTGTGAGCAGCCTCCATGAGGCCTTGGAGCAGTGCATGACTGCCCTGGACCTCTTCCTCACCAACCAGTTCTCAGAAGCACTCAGCTACCTCAAGCCCAGGTAAGGCTTAAGTGCAGGTTGCGGGGATAGAGTGGAGTCAGTGGCTGGTGTTCCTATGTGTGTTGTACATGCATGTGTGTGTGTGAGTGTGTGCATGTAGGATGAGGAGTGTTGATGCATGGAAAAACAAAGGTTTGTATGAGAAGAATCCTGTGTAACTGAACTCCTCAGCTTCTGGGTCACCCTGACCGTTGAGAGTCCCATAAAAACGGCTCTTTCTGTTCCACAGCCTGAGCAGCCACGGCCCTCCCCACGATCACTGTGACTTCCTGGGCCTTAGGTTCTTGAGGCCTCTTTGTACTTTGATTTCTTGTTCCCAATGAATCCACGTGGGTTTTTTCCCTCATCAACTAATACAACCCCTTTTCTTTGTTTCCCTTCAAAGTACCAAAGACTTGAGTTGTGTACTTTATTAAGTGTTTTAGGCTAATAACAAGGGCAATTCATTTAGTCAATTCTTCTCTTTACTGCATTATTGCTAAATAATATGCTTATGCTGTTCTTTCCTTACTTACTACTTTTTAAAGTTTTTTTTTTTTTTTTTTTAATTGAGACATATAGTTCATATACCATAAAATTCACCCTTTCTTAATGTCCTCTTTTAAAGCCTCATCCATTAATAGATATTTTGGTTCTTTAGTGCTGCTCTAACAGAAAATACCACAAGTGGGTGGCTTTAACAAACAGGGATTTATTCTCTTATACTTTTGGAGGCAAGAAGTCTGAATTCAAAGTGCCAGCTCTAGGGGCTGGGTGAAGGTCCCTTGACTTTGGGCTTCACCTCTGCCTCTTGCTTCTGGCCCAGTGGAGCTGGAAGTGTCTCTTAACTCATGCAGCTGCTGGCTGCTGAGGCTGACAAACCCAAGGTCACCAAGTAAAATGGCACAGTCCAAAAATTATCAAACAACACAGCAGGCCACTAGTTCAAGTATAGAAACAGTCCCAAGATTGGCAGACAACATGGGCAGGCCACTTACTGATGACTCAGCCAAATGCAAGATCCAAATGTGCCAAGAAGCTCAAGACCTTTCTCAAAGCGTCTTCTTATATATCAGAAGCAGATGACATCCCTAAGGCAGCTACTCAGCTGCTCATGGTAAATTCCACCATGGAGTTGATTACCAGTGTCATCGTGGGGGAATCACTACATCCAGCTGCCCAGCCACTCACAAAACCAGGCTGGCCAGGTTGACACATAATCTTAACTACCACAGTAGACAAGGATTTAGCTTTCTTACACCCTGTACCACCTCCCTTCCATCATCCTCCTCTTATTACGTCACAATATTTAGCTAAATCAATAATCAACATTTATATTATTATTGCTATGTAGTTAGCGTTTGCTGCAGAGATAAGTAATAGATAATATTAACTCAAGAGGAAACATAATCATTTCCCTAATTAGCTATAGATTTATACTTACATCTTTAAAACTCTGTTAATTATAATTTACTCCAATTACATCTATCATAAGTTTTTCCAAAATGCTCAAACATTTCAGGTGAGCTCTTGGGCTTCCTGTTTCCTGGGGTGGCCTCCAGAGTGTGGGTGGGTCTACAGGCCACCTCCCAGATGTTTCCTGGAACTCCCCTTGCCTCTCTTCTATTTCCTTGATCTTTGGTCTTTCTCTCTTTCATATCCTCTCTCATTTTATTAGAGCATGTCCTCTAGAAGTTTCCTAAGAAAAAGTCACAGGAATATAATTATCCCCCCTCAGAATTTTGAAGGTGTTGCATCCTGTCTTCTAGCATCAATAGCTTTGTGATTCTCCTCACTTTGTGATCTTCTTTTCCTTCTCTGCAAATATTTAGGATCTTTTATCTCTTCAAATCTGAAATTTTGCAATGAGGTGCCAGGGTGTAGGTCTTTTTTAGTCTGTATTTTATATTTAGAAACTCTTTCAGTTCTAGGAAGTTCTCTTGGATGACCATGTTGTTTCCTTTCTTGGGCTTCCTTTAAGTCAGATATTAGACTTTCTGGATCGATGTTCTTCTAAGGCACCTTGCTCTTTGCCCCTTGTTTTCCAATTCTTTCTTTGTTTTTTTTCTAATTGCTGGAGATTTCCTCAGCTTTATCATTCAGTCCTCCATTAGGTTTTTCTTTACTTCTGTAATCATGTGGCTAATTTCACAGTGTTCTTTATTCTCCGAATATTCTTTTTCCACCATAGCATCTTATTCTTGGTATATGGGTACATTATCTTATTATTATTATTATTGTGATTTGGGTGAAAGTTTACAGAGCAAATTCATTTTCCATACAGCTGTTCACATACATTTGGTCTCATGACATTGACTGCATTTTCCCACAATGCAATAGCTCTCTTCCCACTTCCTCCCCATAGCCACCTCTTCCATGTGTCCTTCTCCCTATGCACTCCTGCCCCCTGAGCTGTCTCCCTGTGTGTACCCAGCCCTTCTATTCTCCCATGACTGATGTCTCCAAGGAGTATATCTACCTAATGTAAATGTTCAGCTCATGTGCCTGTCTTTTGTTTGGCTGGAAGCCACAGGAGTGGGTTCAATTCCAGAATTGAAGGGCAGCTAGGGGCCATAGTCTCAGGGGTTTCATCAGCCTCTATCAGACTAGCAAACCTGGTCCTTTTTGTGTGTGTGTGATTTTGACTTTTGTTCTACATTGTTCTCCCACTCTATCCAGGATCTCCTACACAGATCCCTCTCTGAATGGTTGACAGTGGTAGCCAGCACCATCTAGTTCTTCTGGTCTCATACTCATATAGGCTGAGGATCTCATGGTGTACCAGTGCCTTGGACTAATTGTTTCCATGCATCTTTGGTTTTCTTCATTCCTCATTGCTTTGGATGAGGAGAGCCCCGTCATTGCATCTAGATGGCTGCTTGCAAGCTTTTAAGATCCTAGTCGCTACTCGCCAAAGTAGGATGTGAGACAGTGTTTTTGTGTAGATGTTATGCCAATTGAGCTCGATGTCCCCTGCAACTATGGGTTCATTATCTTTATATCTACATTTGGAAATGAGTGTCCTCAGGACAGTGACTGGCATATAGTAAGCTCTCTAGTTAGACTTGATGTTACTATCATCTCAGAATATTATTTCTTTCTAAAATGTTTTATTCTGTTTCCTGCATAACCTCAGCTTTCTCTAGGTTCCCATTTTCTGTCTAATGGTTTGGGAGTCCCATTCTTATGGGTCCTTTCCTCGAATGCCTGATGGTCCCTGGCTGCCTGTCTGGTCAGATTTAAGAAAGTGTTCACTCAAAAGCTGACTGGAAGGTCTGTGTCAAGCAGTCTTGTAATTAGTGAGATTTGCTTCTGGATACTCTGGCAGAGAGCTGGCTGTCAGCATTTGGGGTGGTTTAGATTCTCCATGGAAGTATCATTTGGCCCTGAGCCTGGACAGTGAACCTCTGGCTACAGTTATGGGATTGAGGTGGAGGACCAGGGGGTCTCATCATGTCTACTGCATACTTTCCCTTAATCCCCCTCTGTTCAACTCTGTGTCTTGAGGTTATCCATGGTCATTCCTGGTTTCCCCAAGTCTCCAGGACTGACTTGTTCAATTTTTCTAGACCCAGCTGACCCATTCTATGCAATAGGGGTGTGAACCCTATTGATACCTCATAGAGGGAGCCATGCTTACTGGGGGACAATAGTTCAACATCTAGGGGAGGGGTGGGTCTTTCAGGGCTACTGATTAAGATAAAGAGAATCTAATCAGTCTTTCAACAATCCCACTGGTACCAGCCCCACACATCACTCATACCATCTGAGGGGATCTGCTTAGCTGGGGCAGGGCAGGGCAGGGCAGGATGAGCCAGGTCTACACCCAGAGTGTGGCCACTTTGGAGGCAGACTAAACCCCATGCTGCTGCCTCCTAGTGTTTTTGGGAGGCTTCTCAGCTCCCACTTCCCTCCTGGTTATTTCCTATACTTCACTCTGAGGGGCTACTACCACAGTCATCCTCCTGTCATTGGAAACTGGCTTCCCCCAAGCTGCTTACCCACTTGTTCTGATTACCTAGTGCCACTCTAACAGAAGATACCACAAATAGGAGGCTTTAACAAACAGGAGTTTAACTTACAATTTTTGGAGGCTAGAAGTCCAAGTTCTAAGTGCCAGGCTGTAGGGGCTGTGTAAAAGCCCCTGGACCTTGGGCTTCAGCTCTGCCTCTTGCTTCCAGCCCACTGCAGCTAGAAGCATCTCTTCACTCAGGCAGCTACTAGCTGCTGAGGCTAACAAGCCCAAGGTTGATAAATAAATGGCATAGTCCCAATATTACCAAACAACACGGTAGGCCGTTGATTCAAGTCTATCGAAAGTCCCAAGATCAGCAAAGTATGGCAGGCTGCTGCACAACAGCTCAGCTACATGCAGGGTTCAAGCATGCCATAAGCTAGAGACCATTCCCAAAGCTGTTTCTTATATACGGGAAACAGACTACATACCCAAAGCAGCTACTCAGCTGCTCCAATAGATTCCACCATGGAGTTAATTACTAATGTCACTATGGGGAATAACTACATTCAACTGCCCAGCCACTCAATCAGGCCCAGCCAAGTTGGCACACAAACTTAACTACCACAACACTCTATCCTACCCCAGCTGAGCACAGACACTGTCCTTTTTCCTAATCCCCTGAAGCCTGGCTAAGATCAGGCCACACCATGGTCTAAGTCTAAAGTGTCTAAACTGTCCCTCAACCTTGGGTGCAATTGAAGGGAGTCAGAGACAGAAGAAAATATTAAAACTTATGTGATGGGAGATCCGGCAAGATGGCAGACTAGGCAGAAAGACTGCACAGACCCTCTTTAACGAAGAAAAGGGAAACCAATTAACACAGACACAGAAGATAATCTTGGACCCCTGAGCCTTGAAGGGAAGGATATACAAGTGGACTAAACCCCAACTAGCAGAAGAATTTG